ATACGGCAAATGAAATACATAACTTGACCACTGTATAAGTGTATAGTATAGGAAACGTCCTAACCTTATTTAGATCTGTTTTATATACGTCGAATTTCGGTCGCGTCGAATGCAATTCAAACAATAGATGAAGCTCAATGAGGTTTATTATCTATTGACGATTGTCTTAATTGCGTTCGACGCGACCAAAATTCGACGTATAAAACGGACCTAATTTCAACTTGTGTTCGTCACGCTTCGATATTTCTTTGTAAATCTCAAAGCGAAAGTACAAACAATACGGTAAAATATCATTTAATGTTAATTGATCGATATCATAATTAATCCTCAAAATTGGGTATTAAGGTCATAACAGCAATCAAACTATGGTGCAAATTGTACATATTTGAAATACAACTGCAGACATTTTGAAGTATGCCTGAAGTCACTGAACCATTGCTTGAGCTAATTATACTGTAAATCCAAGCATTTTTAGATGTCAGTTTGTTATTTTAGTCAAGCCTCTAAAACTATTATTGAACTGTATGTCAAAGCAAAAGTAGGCCTACAAGAATTTCATACGTACCCTCTGATGGCGTTAACAAATTTTAATCTACCACTCCCAGATTTCCCAACTATAGCAATGTTTACTTCAACACCCTCCGTTGAAATCTCGTCCAAATACGAAAAATCCGTTACCGTTGCATCTTCCTGCTCCACTTCCAGTGGATTTGATTCAGATGTTGTCATTTTGTCTGCCACTGAACTACTTCAATATCGACCGATTAGCAACTGCTAATGTTGTTTCATTTGCTCAGACACGGCACTGAAACACTAAAACACTTTCTCCACACGACGTCAAATTTTTCTAATACCAAGTGCATGTCATTATTGTGGACATGAGCGACAATGATTTTTTATATGCAAATAGACTAGAGGAGAGTTGTACAACAGCGAAACAATATCTTTCAAATATTATATGATTGTATGAAAATATATCTTGCCCTGTTTCAAAAGGTAAACAGACTTTACCAGCTGGTCAGAACAATTTTAATTAACTCTGACTCTGTTCGAAACTATACCTTGAAACAGAATGCTGTTAGAGTGATGACTTTATAATATAGCATTTGTTAATTCTGAACGCTGATTCGCTAAGAGCCGTGTTGATATAACTCAATGTCAACACTGAAACGTCGGAAAATTTCTTTCTTTATATTTCTTTGTGCTATATTATAAAACAAATATAAAACATTTTTTCCGTATTGATATACAGTTATATCAACACTCGTGGAAATTGGGAAAACTCGCAATTGTGTGGAAACACGACGCCTCCGGATACTGTATTTAACAATTATTCTCAGAAGGCGAGGTGATTATCGGGGAATATTCGCCGAGACGAAATCGAGGTGAATATTCTCCGATAATCACCGAGCCTGAGGCGAATAATTGTTTTAGTATTTTTGCACAAGTTTTTTTGTGTTTTTCTGGTCCGAATTCATTTTAATTTCGCTTATTTCTTTGTCACTATTAAACTTCAACAAAACGGCTAGCTGCCATTTTGAAAATTTCGATTTTATTATATTCACCTGTAGGTGAATATAACAGATTAATGCGTCAAATTTTACCAATCACCTTGTAGGATTTGTTATGTTCACTTGTGAAAAATACTAAAACTGTATATCAACACGGAAAATGTTTTATATTTGTTAAATATGAGAATAATCCCCGAGCCCGGGGTGAGGGTACTAATTCCGCCCGGCTATTTACACATTAAAGTAAAGCCTATAAAAGGCAAAATAACATACCTAATTTATATGTTTTATAAACTGATAATTCTGTATTTAAAAGTGTTCAAGTTCCATCTATTTTTTGCAGGTTTGTACAAAAAGTTTAAAAACTACAATTATCGTGTTGCCATGATTATAACACAGAATAGATACCAGATCAGAAGGGACACTCCTATGTGTTTCGGCTTGGGAAAAACGTCCGAAATTTTTTACGTTCTATGACGCCATCCTGGAGTGCACACGGCACTTTGTACCTGTTTGTCCTATGAAATATGCGAAAGTTATACCGATTTATAAGGAAGGCAACAAACGAACTTTGGGAAATTATAGACCAATATCAATTCTACCGATAATAAGTAAGGTTTTCGAAAAATAAATCTTTACACAACTTTACAAACATTTAAACGAAAATTGCCTTATATCCAAATTCCAATCCGGATTTCGACCAGGGCACTCTACAATTACAGCTCTAATTCAAATGTGTGATAACTGGTACGAAAATATGGATAATGGCAAGTTAACAGGGGTAGTTTTCCTTGATATCAGAAAAGCTTTCGATTCAATAGATCATGTTATACTACTTGAAAACTAGCTTTCTATGGCGTTTCTCAACTTGAACTTGCATGGTTTAAATCCTACCTCTCAAATCGGCAACAACAGTGTCAAGTAAATGGCTGCCTCTCTAATAAAGGTGAAATAATTTGCGGGGTTCCACAAGGTTCCATACTTGGCCCGTTGTTGTTCCTAATTTATATCAACGATTTACCCAACTGTCTAAAGACAACAACACCCTGTCTATACGCAGATAATACCCAAATTTTCGCCTCTTCGTACGACTCTGTTGCGCTGGCTAATGATATAAACTCTGATTTAGAAAATGTCACAGATTGGTTAAATGTGAATAAACTCCAATCCCATCCTTCTAAGGCTAAGCTTATTGTCATAGGATCTAAACATAATTTGACCAACAAAGTTGGTGAATTGTACAACAGCATTATCATGAACAATAACGTAATTTCACCTGTTGTCTTGAATAAATGTTTGGGAGTTGATCTTGATGAGAGATTGACTTTTGACATCAATATTGAAGAAATATGCAAGAAGATCTGTTCTGGCATAGGAGCATTGAGGAGAATTAAACCATTCGTTCCGCAGACCTCTCTTGTTACATTATACATATCATTAATTCAACCGTATTTTGATTATTGCTCTCCCCTGTGGGATACATGCGATAAAATATTAAAAGATAAATTGCAAATATTACAAAATCGTGCGGCTAGGGTTATCACTGGAGCAAGATATGATGATAGAATTAGATCAAGTGATCTTTTGGAAGGTTTAGGATGGGATAATCTACATGTTAGGCGGGCTAAGTTGAAGAGTATCCTAATGTATAAAATCCTTAATGAAAATTGTTCGCCATGTTTAAGAGAAAGCCTTGTAAAACTTAGTGAACTTAATAGACGCCATAATTTACGAAATCAGGAAACGGATCTAGCACTTCCAAAACCAATAACTAATTTTTTGAAAAGAAGCTTTAAATATAACGCATCAATGCTGTGGAATAATCTTCCATTAGATGCAAAAAGTACGACTTCGCTCAGTCAATTTAAGCGTAGTATTGCGGAACTGTCTTTTTAGAACCATGTTGACTTAATTATAGTTAACTCTCTTTATTTACTTTACTTGGCTTTATTTTTCTCAATTTGTTGTTGGGGGGAGGTTGGGGAGTTCATATAATATTCCATATATTCTACTGTTTTATATATCACGCCCCTCCTGTAAATCAGCTTTTAGTTGTGCGAGGCTAGCGTGTTTTTGATTTTAAATAAAATTGAATTGATTGATTGATTGAGGATGGCGTCATATGATGGGTATTTTCACGTCAGCACTCGGACAAAATATCGTCTGAGGTCGCTTCTGGTCCAGTATCTATTCTGTGACTATAACATGACGTGACAACGCAAGCCTGCGTTCAGTTTTGACATAATTACGAATACTTCATGTTGAAACAATGTTTGGAAAATATAGGCGAGGGGTCGTTGCATGCATGTATTTCTAGTTAATAGGCATAACGCGACACAGGTTTTACGCAAGATGTTAGGACGTTAATAAATATGAGACAGGGACAATACAATTGTTATTGTATGATATTCTAGCGTGTAAAGGGTAATAAAAGTCTGGTTTGGTTGTTGTTCGATTCGCTTATATTGCTTACATCATCATGAGAGAGCAGTGAAAATAATTTACTTTCACAAACAGTTGAAGACGACAAATCAATTTCATTCATAGATCCTTCAGAGCAGTTTTGGACTATGCTGTACCAGTCTTTGGACTGTGCAGCATGTACCAGTGTTGTACCAGTCTCCTTGTCAAAGAATCCAAAAACGTACGTGTTACATCAATTGTTTTTCCTGAGAACGGAACTTGAAAGAACGAAACTTGAAATAGAGCGTCTCGAAATTCACCATAGAAATATTTGTAATTCAACGTTCGAGTCAATTGTGTTTGAGTCAACTTAATACAGGTGACGCAACACATGCAAAAACTTCATGTCTTACTCCCTCCACTCACGAATCTAGCCTATATAGGCATCACTGCAAGATCGCTATGCCAAGATGTAAGACGAATGGCTGCAAAAACTCTTTCCTGATATATTCGTGCTGTCAGGCGAACGTATTATAAATTTTTAAACTTTTCAATATTAACATTCTATTAATATTACAGTTGATTTCATCTAAATGTTGCGAACTTCGTTCATAACTTCATTGTGAAGTTCAAAAGTAATTCATACTGAAATTTACAAGCCGGTTTGTAAACAAAGCCTGTAATTGGTCCCTGAACAAAAATAAGCCAATCAGAGGGTTAAATGGAAAACACGGAGTCGGAATCCCGGAGTCGGAGTCCCGGAGTTTGACGTCATAAAAATATGGAAAACACGGAGTCATATGGAAAACACGGAGTCTGACGTCAGAGAAAAATATGGAAAACACGGAGTCATATGGAAAACACGGAGTCTGACGTCATAAAAATATGGAAAACACGGAGTCATATGGAAAACACGGAGTCTGACGTCATAAAAGTATGGAAAACACGGAGTCATATGGAAAACACGGAGTCAGACGTCAGAGAAAAATATGGAAAACACGGAGTCATATGGAAAACATGGAGTCTGACGTATTGTCAGCGTGAAATATGGAAAATAGTAATTAAATGGCTGCCAGTCAGGGACGAATGCTCTCCATATTTTTTGTTTATTTGGTTTTGTTCCTGCTCAATACTCAATCAAAATGTAAAGGGGCTGTTTTTAAACGATTGTTTTTGCGAAATATTGATGGATTGCTCGACGATGGTTGTCCTGCTTGGAGTTATTTACAATTTATTCAGCTACGGGTTGGTTACAAGCGGGAGTTGCTGCCATCCAAATATGGAGCGTCGCTTCCCGTTTATAAAAGTACTAAGCACGGCATGGTCTGTTTATCTCTACCAGCTAGTTTGTTTGTTATGGATCTAACGATATATGTTGACATATCCCGTAATCCTGGACCTTCTCAAGAGTTTATTCATCGGCAAAGTATGCCTTCTTTCTCAAATTCACCTCGGTCATGCCTCGATGCCCATACTGCTAAACAGAAGCTAAATTATTCTATAGAAATGTTGAGTTCAAGTTCCGTTTTTCAACCTTTTAACGACGTTGTTCTGAACCCACCTAACATATCTGTGAATATCCCAATCCGTGTTACTAACAGAGTAAGCACTCGCAATTATCGTCGTGTAGGAGCCAGAAACCTGGTTAAAGTTAACATCTCTACAGATGATTGCCTTAGCGATAAGACTCGGAATGTTAAGAAACTTCACCTTTCAGTACTTAATGCCAGGTCAATCAACAACAAGTCCTTATTGATTAAGGATTATGTTGTAGAGAGAGAGATTGATATTTTAGCTATCACCGAAACATGGTTAAAAGTGGGTGAGACCAGTAATTATATCACGCGGGATATTTGTCCGAAAGGCTACAAATTTATTCATTGCCCAAGGGAGTATGCTCGTGGGGGTGGTGTTGGTTTACTTTTTAAGCAAAATCTTAAGATTAAGAAGTTGAAAACAAGATCTTACCAGTCATTTGAGTTGATGGAATTATTATTAAATGTAAACTCGTCTACCTACAGAATTGTTGTTATTTACCGTCCTCCCCTATCATCGTTAAACAAAGTAACATATTCTGCATTCCTTGAAGAATTTACAACGCTACTGGAGCACATCTCCCTAGCTTCTGGAAAGCTTATAATGGTAGGAGATTTTAACTGTCATGTAGATGAAGGAGGTTCTAATGCTCTCAGGTTTTTGGAGCTTCTGCAGATTTTTAATCTTGAAGAGCATGTGAATGTACCGACACACAGTAGTGGACATACACTCGACCTTATTATCACCAGAAAAGATGAAACTATTATTAATAATCTTAGAGTATTCGACGCTGTTATTTCTGACCATTTTGTGTTGCATTGTAATTTAGACTTGGCTAAGCCTTGTAACGTAAAGTCGGACATTTCGTATCGAAAGCTTGGAGATATTGATACACTAAAGTTTCGTCAAAACATTCTTAGCTCGGAGTTATATACAAGACCTGCACCTACTCTTGAGGAGCGTTG